CTGCATAAAATGTGCTTCAAGTTTATCTACTATATTCAACCCTAGAAAGTCTATCAGCTCAAACTTCAGCATTCTTTAAGCTATTTTATTCCTCTTCTGTACAGGTCTAGAAAATATATATGGTTTTTACACTGAAATATTTCCTCTGATCTGTAATCCCATTTATCCTCATGGTGAAATAAAAAGAACAAAAACAACTCCAGCTAACCCGGTCTAACCCAGACACCTAAATCTTCATAACATTCCATATGTTGACCCTACAGCACCTCTTGTTTTGCTTTTGTCTCACTTTCTCCTCACTTCCTGTTTCCTGTCTTGCAGGTTTGCTGGGCGACCCGGACCACCCATACAGCAAGTTTGAAAATGAGTAAGCCAGCAGCAGAGGTGTCAATGGAAATAACTTGTCCTTCTTTTTTATATTTTTGACTGATGCCTGCGTCTTTCTAGAACCAATACATACTGTAGCTGTTAGGAACAAAACAAAATTCGGTTTGATTTCCATGTATAATATTTTTGCCTTTCTTATTGAAGATGCTGTGTTGTATATTGAATGTTTGGAATCTCTGTTAAACTTTCACTGATCAAATAAGAATGTTAAGACTTTTTTAAAACTGCATACATAAGTAGTTTCATAATAGCTTTTGCACTATACCAGAATGATGATGAAGGGTGACTGTACAAGATGTGCTTTGACATTCGAATAAAAACTATTTTACGATTCTGTTTTGTTGTAACTTTTCTGTGATAATGAAACTTGCGCCACAGTGGGTGATGGCAGGTAATGGTGTATTTGCTCTTGCTAATGAGTGCTGGCCATAGAGATAGCAGCAAGAGCAAGTCGTAACATAATTAAATAAGATTATTTCTTTATGAACATCTATATACGTCAGTAGGGATGTAACAATATTCAAATCTTTCCATACGATATACATCTCACGTTACGATATTTATTGTAACATTTTTAGAGGCTAACAGAAAAGTGAATAAGTGAATCCTTTTTATAATGCCATGATCAGCCTTATTACGGTTATTTCTTCACATAGTCAGCACTGAAACAGAACAAAGGATCATAGTGTGTGTAGTTCACTGTTTTTTAGCTATTGCTGCACCAAAACATTGAAAAACAATTTGCAATTTGATGTTAGATGATGTTATTATGAGACTTGATGATATGATCACAGTATTTTGCTTATTGTTACATGCATATATATCAGTTTACCTTAGGCTAACTAAAGCTCCAGAAATAGCTTACCACCTCAAAGAATCAAGTGAATAAATGGCACATTGTAAAGTGAATATTTCATTCAAAATTTTATTATGATATGTGCTGCCTCAGATTGACAGTTGCCAGTGTTGTATTTATTTATGAAAGGGACAATTCATATTAAAAGACAATTTTCATCAGCTGTAAGGCAAGCCATAATATAGGAAAACATATACACATTTTACAAGATTATAATACAACATTTTAGGCATTTATATATATAAATACAGTATTTTTCTGACATTGCACAAGTTGCTTTATAAAATTGTGTTTTAAGCTTATTTTGTCGACACTGAAATCAAATTACAACTACTACTGTACTAATTCTGTACTTGTGTAAATATTTTTTTTCATTCCCTCCCTCATGATTTGCTTTTTCCTCCACTGGCAGGTGAAGTACCCTCAAACGGCCTGTAGGGGGTAGTTTAAGCACCAAATGAAGCCTGTATTTCTCCACTGACATCTTCTAGTATTAAGAAATCTTACCTCCCTGACATCTTTTGCTACACCTCTTTACCCCTCTTTCTCTCAGTGCTGCAGGTGACTCTTAAACCATGTTATTCTTGGAGATACACAACAGCCCCACACCTCTTACAAAGTGGGTTTAGAGGATCAGGTTACATGCATCATTACCAGTGCTGCTATAATAAAGAGCCATTTCAATCTAATAAAACCACACATTTGTCTCAATTATCTCTGACTCCAGTCAAAGCAATTAGACAGAACAGTGATGAAGCTCCCTGCATTACTGACACACTCAGACTTTGCCCCACCATAAGAGCTCTTCATGTACCTATGCTGGCTCATGCAATTAGCAGAAGTAGCTTTAGGTTTTGTTCTTACAATGTACCTTTTATTGCTACATTTTATAAGGAGCGCAGTGGCTACAAAGCAATGAGCGGAAAGGTGGAAGAATAGGGAAAAATATTAATCACGATGAAATAATTAGACAAACTTTATTAATCCACATGGGAAATTATTTGGACACAGTAGCTCACACATCACAATATAATATAATAACAAAGAGCAAAAACATAAATGGTAATAATAAATTCAAAATAAGCAGCAAAAGAGACTGGTGTTAAATAAGACATAATTATATAAATGTATATGTACAAATAAAAGTAATCATTGAAATATAGTAATACAAATAGCTATATCTCAGCTGTACAAGGTCCTAAGCAGAAAACAGTGCGAAGACAAAGTAGTGATTAACATGACAGATGGTTATCTATTATAATAATTGAATTTATAGGCATTATTCATTCACTCCATACTAGAGATGTTATGATACATACATTTCAAACTTGTTTTCAATACTGATACTGATATTACCAGGATATCACCAGGATAATTAAAATGCCATTTTCAACATGAAAATCATAGTTCTGTTTTATTACCATGTGGCCTTATGTAATCCTTCAGTTGTCCAATTCCATAGTGGTCCAAGGGCGTGTACTAGTCTATGTGGTTTTATGTTTGTTCTGATTCAGCTCAAGATCATTCTAAAACTATTCAGGAACGGTAACTTTTTCAGAATGAATATTACCTCAAATGAGTGTCTAGTTTTATATACTAGTTTTTGATACCAGTATCGATTAGTATCTGTTTTTTGATACTTTTTACAATCGCCCTCCGTACTTACTAAGTAGTCACAGCTGCCAGACTCACAGAAACAGGGCAGCCAGTCTGTGCCACCTTAAATGTATTACGATATAGCTACAGCAAATTTTTATGTTCAAATTCAATTTACATTTTTCTCCGATTCCTGATGCAGTTGTTCTGGGCTGAAGTAAAGATGCTTTCCACTACAGACACATACATACACAGCCGCAAACACACGTCATAGAGACACACAGAGGTCACAGAGATATTCTGACCCCATGGAGCAAGACCTGGATTACTGCAGTCTCATACAATTAATCCCATTCAAATCCCAGATTGAGATGTCAAAGTTAACCATCAGAGGATGATCCCATTAGGGCACAGTCAGAATAATAGTGTGTGCATAGCCTACTTTTTATTTTTTGTGTTATTTTGTTAAATGATGTAAAAATGTATTTATTCTGTGATATTTATTGTGTGATGAACTTAAATTTCTGTATGCGAGCCAGGACTTCAGAAACACTTGTTCAGCATTTTGTGTTTTACACTCCGGGCAGGACAAGGATAGATGGCCGACTACAAAACACACTGCAACAACTCACCAACTTGTTAGAAAATGTTGAGGTAAAAAGTGAGAGTTGAGGACTGAATATACAATGTATTTTTAGGAAAAAGGTTCCAATTTTGCATAATGTTGGATGTGCTTCAAAATCTGATGCTACACATTTCCTACACCTTATTTTAATCAGAATGTAATTGGAATACGCTTGGTGCATCCAGATTAAAATCTAAGACTGTATTATGTTTTGTAACATAAATCAGAATACAAAGAATAAGATAACTTGAATTCTGTTACAAGGAGATTTGAATGTATTTGATGTATTTCCTGACCTTGAATCTAACATGTGGCGCGTCTGTGAAGGCAGTGTTGCTGATGTTGGGAAATACCTCCGCGTAGGTCTCACAGAGGGCAGCCACCTCCGCTGGAGACAACAGCGCGAGCGCACACGGAGAATAACGCCTCCTGTGGCACATTAGAGGGCGGAGCTGGGTTCATAACTGTCTTTACTGATAACCAATGACCGAGAGGTGCTCCCCGGAATCAGACCAATCCTCGTGTCGCTGAGGCGGGACACCGAGGGGTCGAAACGAGAGAGAGAGAATCCCAAAAATGACATCTAGATTGCGGTGGAGCTGGGAGCGACTGGGACGTTGAGGAAAGAAGGAGAAAGAAAAGAAGTCCGATCCAGAGCGTCAGATTACGCACGACTCCGAACCGGACGCGTCTTTTGCTGCGGTTTAGGAAATGTAGTGGCAATCTTTTCCGAACATTTCAACAAGGTTTTTTAGTTGATGAGAAGTGCCCGGAGCTGCTCTTTTTGGTTCCCCGTGTTTGCAGCTGCAGTTGTCGGGCTTCAACCACTGAAGCAACCGCTGCTCCTCCAGAACCGCTCCTTCTCGTTCATCTTTTACGCGTTAATCAATAACGCCTTTTACTCAAACAGACCCGTAACTGCATTGAAAAAGTCTCTAAGAAATAAGCGCGATGTGTGACCTGATGCCAGCCTCGCAACCAGTGGAGAAAATCGGCAAAATGAAAAAGTTGAGGAGAACTTTGTCGGAGAGTTTCAGGAGTATTGGTAAGTACCGTTAGTACTTTGATTTCCAGATGTTTTTGGGCCATTGTACTCAGAGCAGCAACAAGGCAGCCAAGCTTGTAGTGTGAGCTCGTTTAGATGTAGGTTAGCGGTCATGGAAAAGCCACACGAACTTGGCTCTGCATCCTTACTTCTCATTTTGGTTTTAACTCCTTATGTTGTTGAGCAACTTTCGGAAATCTATTGTCATTTTTATGAGTCCAGGGTGCAAGGGACGCGTAAATTCTGTAATGTTAGCAGACTGGGTGAGTGGCATAGATTAATTTGATTTGATCATAGGACTGTAGCCTGCTTTTTCCACGGAATTCATGGTTACTGTGTGCGTTATATTTGCATCCATATATCTGACAATATCTTCCCTCAATGTGAAACCAAATGTAATATCCGGTTGGCAAAAATAGTAAAAAAAAAAAAAAATGAACTCATGCTCTATCAAATTTCACCCTAAATCTGTCCACTGAAGATCATTTTATATAGAATAATGTTGCCAAGTCATATCTTTTGCTCTAAAATGTTAAAATATTCAAATAAATACTTACTGCAACAGCTCCACTACAACAATTGAGATTTGTGGTTCACTTACTTACTCAATAAATACCCAGAGAGCCAAAGAACATTGAATGCCTTGTAAAAATCTATGGCTAATCACAATCAAATCCATCCAGCTCCTAATTTGGTCATCACTTCCCCTGTTATCTGCAGCGGAGTTGGTGTAGTAAGACATTCCAGAGGTGTTTCTCTTTCTCCACAAAGACATAAATCTCTGTGTACAATGTCAGCCTCATAAACCAGAGCTCACATGTGAACGAATGGTGTTTGTGGACTGTAACAAGAGGAATGCCAAGACACACGCCGTTTACCATGAAGGTTACACTGTCTGCTCTAAGTGGCTGTGCACGAGATAGTGATGCTGTGGTTTGTAGGGCTGGGAATCGTAGGGTCCCTCATGATTTGATTCAATACTCGATATTTGCACGCCTGTCATGATAACAAATTTTGACGCACGATACATATATTGCTACAGAGAATTATTGTGATAAATGATAATATTGAAACTACTTCATGCCAGTGGTGCCATAAAGCAAGATAAGGCCAATAAACCAATTTTTAAGTAGACAATATTGTTAAAAATCCTGAACTGCAACAAATAAATGGAAGAACGAACTGATAATTAACCAAAAGTTATTTATTCTACCCTCTACAGCTTAAACCTCACCTTACAAAAATAAAAATGGCAAAAATCTCACCACTATTGCAATGACAAAGTACCCTCTGAAGTATATTGTTCCAGACTTCATATATTGAATGATAAGTCGATTTTCGATTTTAACACACAGTACCACCTGTGCCTGTGAGTCAATAGAGAATTAAGCAGTTGTAACTATTCAAACTGTGAATATGTCAGATGTTTTGCATAAACAAGTTTCTTTTCTCTGAACAAACATCAAAACTGTAGCACTAAGTACCAAGTAAATAAGAACAATAAAAAGTAGCTCAGTTGGTTGAGTGTTCATCCACTGATCCAAAAGTTGGTGGCTTGAATCCTGCTCTCGACATAAACACACTGGAGCAGTCAGATTCCAGCTTCCACAGAATGCTATTCTTGTGTCCTTCGGCAAGACACTTAACCCCCATCACCCCCAGTGTCTGCACACACTGCAATATGAATGTGAGTGGTTCCTTGATATAAAGTGCTTTGAGATTATGGTACTGTGTCACCCAATTTAGTGTCATGATATATCGATGTTTTGATATTTTACTGTGGACAACAGGACACAGTTTGGTTCTTAATTGAAATATATTGCTGTCCATTCAATATTTAGTGTATTGGATGACATATTTGGTTTTGCAATTTCCCTAAAAGGTAATCGTCTGTAACTCGTCTGACTTATCTTTAATGTCAGATGTGGCTAAACGAAACCTCTCTGAAATATAGCCGTTGTAAGTGGAACATAAATGACATTAATTTGTATCTTAAAAAGCACTTTAAGCTGTCAACAATCTTGACAACAGTTTTTTTTCCTGTATGAAACACTGACATGCCTGCACATTGATCTGTAGTTAACTATTAAATGCTATGTAGTGTTTGACTGAATCTGGTTACAATTAAGATATAATAAAAGTTACAGGTCATTTAAGTTTTAATTTGAATCATTTGTATTTAATTCATCAATTCATGTCAAATATCATGGGTCTTTAAAAGGAGACTTCATATCTAATCTACAGAATTTTGAATGTAGTTAATTGACCAGACTGTTGGTTTAAGCTCCTGGACTCAAAATGCTCTGTTTCACTTTGAGATGTCATGTAGTGCTAGTTTTCAAGTTAACAGCTTTACTTTTTTGTTAAGTAGAGATTGGCAATTGCAGGTCTGATATTCTAGTGGAAGTGTATGGAGTGGAGTACTTGCTGTATTACCACATGACATCACAAGGTGGAAGTGTTTTCAGTTCGAAAGAAGAACAGAACCTAAATATGCAGGTTTTGTGTGTTAAACATGTGTGAATGAAACAAAACACAACTCCAGCTATTTGTGATGAGGAAACAACATTATATAACATAGACCAGAAAACAGTGTAGTATTGGCCCTTTAATATAACAAACCTGCAACAGCATGTCTTTAAAATCTTTTGTGACCTTTTTATGATCTGAGATATTTTGATTGAGAAGAGCATCTTAAACTTGATAGCTTATTACAGTGGAGTGTTGGGGAGCCAGATTGGCCATAAAACTAGATAGTGTTGTTGTGCAGCATAAGGAATTTTAATGATCTGGATAAATAATTTTTTTAAATTTTTATTATGATTATACAGTGCAGTAACATTTGAATTTATGAATAAACCTGCTCAAGATTTGTATTTAACTTACTAAAAGTGAGTCACTGTAGACTGTTGTGCATCTTTGTTTTTTGTAAACCATATGCTTCTAAAAGGTATACACATAGACCGTATAAAGAATATGTATAAAGACTTTATAAAGAAGGGAACTAAGGGAGTGTGATGTTACCCATAGCATTCGACTCCAGTCAAATGAAGTTCATGAGGCTGGCAGTTTTAGGAGTGAATTTGGAGTTGAGTTTCATGTTAGGAATAGGAATTTGTTTCAATGTAAAGTCAATTGGAATCGGAGATGATGGAGCCGGAAGCGCTCCCATGCTCACAGTCATTATGGATATACCTGAGGAATAATAACTGGTAAACACATGTGGCAGGCAACGCAATATATTAGTCCATAAATTCTCTGTTTATCAATGTAGTTCCGGTTGAGCTATCAGGCTTATTCAAATGTGACCTGACTGTTTTCAAGGTGCTCCCAACACCCCTGTATCTCATCTAATCTTCATCTCTTTTCTTCTTTCTCATATTTGTACACACAGACATAGACTAATACATCCTGTGCACTGCTCACTAGTCTGGCCTTGGAAGAATTTATTGCACAAAATAGGTATTATTTAACAAAACTGCACATATGCTTAGGGAATGTGCAATAATTAATAGAATACAAGAATGCAAAGGCTTGCCTGTTAAGAATAATTTAAAGGTCCTGTTGGTGCTTCACTCGTGGTCAAACTTGGTCTCATATTTACTTTGTTCTATGGTGTTTGTTTATGTGCTGCTTTGTGTTGTGTTGTCCTATTTTTTGATAAAGCATGTTACCCCCTGTCCCAAGACAAATTTCTCCCATGGGAGACAATAAAGGATTATCTTATCTTATCTAACAATATTCACCATATATTACTAAATCTAATAAGTTACTCACAATGATATGCTCTTTTATGTTTTGAAAGACAAACTAAATGTGTAAATTTAATTGTTTTGTATAAATGGACATAGCTAACCTGATAACTATCAGATTCTGGAAGTGATCATGGACGTGCTTCCGGCTCCATTAACTGACTTCACTTTGTATTGAAAAAACATTGCCCCTATCTCCATAACTGCTTCTGTCAGGCACCTTATTTCGCGCTTAAAATGTTGTATTAACTCGCTCTACATGATCCTGGTGTTTTTATTTCACTATTTTGTCCTTAAATCAATTCCTATTTCTAATATGGAACTCTGCTCCAAATTCGCCCCTGTAACAGCTAGCCTCATGAGCTTCATTTGACTGGAGCTGAGCGTCCACTTGTTTATACTGTGTATGGAACCAAATCTGACAAAGCTGAGGAAAATGTATACAAGGCAAGACAAGTTTATTTGCAGACAACAATTCATACACAAAGTAATTCAATGTGCTTTACAGAACAGAAAATATTCTTCACATTCCCATAAGTAGGCGCTACTGTTACTGAACTTAATTAATCTTAATAATAACAATTTCATCAAGAGGTCTTGTTTCAGATAAGAAGATGTTGTAGCAACTCTACAACATCATTGGTGAGCCTTAGGAAAATATCATCCTTTAAAAATATCATACATTTTGATATCCATAAACAAAATAAATGGTCACAGTTCCTTGCCCCATATGAAAAGATGAGAGATGAAACTATTTGGGTGGATGTCATGAGAAAAGCTTGAGGAGAGATTGGCATTGACTTTCCTGCCACGCTGGCTCTTAGTTTCCCATTGGCCGTCTCTCCTCCATCTAAATCAACACATCTGAGCATCGATCCAGCTCTGTCCCCGCTCCACAGTGAGGAACAAAGCGCATTCAGCAGACACTGGGGGACACTGTTGGGCCAACCGCTCCCATGGGGAACGCTCTGCAAAACATGGCAAATTATGATGACGTGAAAGATAATAAATTGTAGATGGAAGTAGCTATTGCAATTTGATTTGTTTAGCTGAAATATTCACATTTTAGGACACCACTAGCCCTAAAACTGCATTTGAGGTACACCCTTTATATATTGGAGCTACTAGTATACTTAAAGGCTACATAGAATGAGCTTGGATTTTTTTTGGATCGCGTAGCAAATATATCTGCTTAGTTCAAAACCTCATTAAACAAGCAAAGTTCAAGATTTTTGAACTTTGCTTGTT